TCATTTACAGAACACTATCCAACAATAGCAGAATGCACATTCTTCTCAAGTTCACATAGATTCACGAAGATAGATCACATTCTGGGCTATAAAATACACATAACAAATTTAAAAGCATACAAAGTATGTTCTGAGAATGAAGTAGAATTAAACTACATATCAATAACAGAAATATTGCTAGAGAATCCCCAAATATTTGGAACTTAAATAATATGCTTATATACTCATGGATCAAAGAAAAATTCTCAAGAGAAATTTAAAACTATTTTGAACTAAATGATAGTGAAAATGCAACTTAGGAATTTTTGTGAGAGGCAGTGAGGCAGTACTTAGAGGAAATTTCATATCATTAAATGAATATATTAGAAAAGAAGTAAAATCTAGAATCAATAACCTAAAATTACCTTTAGGAATCTAGACGAGGGGAACAATTTAAATCTAAAAGAGGGGCCTGCCCTGTGGCTGAGTGGTTAAGTTTGTATCCTCCAGGATTTCACCGGTTCAGATCCTGGGCACAGACATGGCACCACTCATTAAGCTATGCTGAGGCGGCATCCTACATATAACAACCAAAAAGACCTACAACTAGAATATGCAAGTATGGTCTGGGGTGTTTTGAGGAGAAGAAGAGAAAAACACAGATTGGCAACAGATGTTAGCTCAGGTGCCAATCTTTAAACCTAAAAGAAGCAGAAGAAAAGAAATAATAAATATTAGAGGAGAAATCAATGAAATTTAAGACAGAGAAGCAACAGAGAAAATCAAGGAAACCAAAAGCTGGTCCTTTGAAAATATCAATAAAATTTATCAAACTCTAGTCAGGCTAAGAAAAAAGAGAGATAAATTACCAACATCAGAAATAAGAGATTTCATGACATTAAAAAGATAACATAGGAATACCACAGACAACTTTAGTCTCACAAATTTGATAACAGATGAAATGAACCAATTCCTGGAAATACACAAATTACCAAAATTCACACAAGGAGAATTAAATAAATTGAATAGCCTATATCTATTAAAATAATTGAATCAATGATTAGTAACCTTCCAAAATAGAAAAAATCAAGGCCAAATGGTTTCCCTGGTGAATTCTATCAAAAATGTAAGAAAGATGTAATATCAATTCTCTGCAATCTCTTAAAGGAAATAAAGCAGAACACTTCTCTAACTCATTTTATGAAACCAGCATTACTATAATTCTGAAAGCAGATGCAGACATTAAAAGAAAGTAAAACCACAGATCAATATCTCTCATGAACACACCAACAAACTCCCCAAGAAAACACTAGCAAATTAAATCCAAAAATGTACAAAAGGAGTATACATCACAAACAAATGGGTTTTATTTCAGGTATGCAAGTAGAGTCAACATTAAAAAATCAATAAATGTCAACATGCTAAAGAAAAAAAGGATAAGATCATGTCAACTGACAGAGGAAAAAAATCTAACAAAATCCAATGCCCTTGAATGATAAACACTCTCACTCTGAGCAAACAGAGAGGAGCTTCCTTGCGTTGATAAAGAACACCCATAAAAAAACCTGCCACTAACATCATATTTCACAGAGACATGATAATTCCCCATTTAGGATCAAGAACAAGGCAAGGATGTCCATTCTCACCAGTCCTATTCAACATTCTATTAGAAGTCCTAGCTCATGCAAGAACAGAAGAAAAGGAAAGAACGGCATTCAGATTGGAAAAAAAAACACAAAATACTCTTGGCAGATGACATGATTGTCTAGTTAGACAACTGCAAAGAATCAATATAAAAAATTCTTGGAACTAAAAAGTGAATATAGAAAATTTGCAAGATACAAGGTTAGTATATAAAAATCAATTGCATTTATATAGTCCAGCAAGAAACTGGAATTTAACATTTAAAAATACCATTTACGACAGCATCAAAAAGAATTGAAATACTTAGGTATAAATCTAGCAAAATATGTACATGATCTGTATGTGGAAAAATATGAAATATTGATCAGATGAAAGAAATCAAGGACGATCTAGATCAATAGAGAGATAGTCCATGTTTATGGATTGGAAAACTCACTATTGTAAAGATGTTGATTCCTTCCAACTTCATCTGTAGACTGAAATCCCCCAAAAATCTCTTTAAGCTATTTTGTAGGTATTGACAAAATTTATTCTAAATATATGGAAAGGCAAAAAATCTAGACTAGTCAACATAATGCTGAGGAAGAAGAACAAAGTTGGAGGATTCACTTTACCTGATTTCAAGACTTACTATAAAGCTAAAGTAACCAAGACAGAATGGTATTTGTGGATAAACAAACAAATAGATCAATAGAACAGAATGGAGACCCCCAAAATGGATTCATTTTAATATAGTCAACTCCTTTTGAGAAAGACATAAAGGCAATTCAATAGAGACAGACTGTATATACACATATACACAAATGATGCTGGAACAATTGGATATCCACATATAAAAATAAAAAGAATCTAGACATAATCTTTACACTTTTAACAAAAAATAACTCAACAATCATAAAACTAAATGCAAAATGAAAAACTCTAAAACATCTGGAGAAAACAGGAGAAAATCTGAATAACCTTGATTTGATGAGGAATTTTTAGATACAACACCAAAAGTACAATCTATGAAAGAAAAATAAGCTGGAATTCATTTAAATTAAAAACTTCTGCTCTGCTAAAGACACTTTTAAGAGAATGAAAAAACAAACCACAGACTCGTAGAAAATATTTGCAAAACAGATATCTGATAAAAGGACTTGTATTCAAAATATACAAAGTTCTCAATATTCAACAGTAAGGAAACAACTCAATTCAAAAATAGGCAAAAGGTTGGAAAAGACACTTCATCAAGGAAGATATACAGTTGGATGTTTAGCATGTGAAAAGATGCTCAATATCATTGGTCATTAGGGAAATTCAAATTAAAACAACAATAAAAAAACCACTGGACACTTACTAGAATGCTAAAATACGCAAAATTGGCAATACCAATTGCTGGAGAGGATAGGGAGCAACAGAAACTCTCATTCATTGCTGGTAGAAATGCAAAATGGTATGGCCACTTTAAAAGACAGTTTGGCAGTTTTTCATGAAGCTAAACATAGTCTATTGCGTGATCCAACAACTACCCTCCTAGGTATTTACCCAACTGATTTGAAAACATATCCACACAAAAACCTGTACATGAATATTTACAGCAGATTTACTCATAATTGCCAAAAACTGAAATCAGCCCAGGTATCCTTCAATACATCCATTCAAAGTGAATGGATAAGCAAACTGTGGTACATTTACATGATGGAAACAGCAATAAAAAGGAATAAGCTATCAAGCCACAAAAATATATGGATACATCTCAAATACATATTTCATATTGAAAGAAGCCAGTCTGAACAGGCTATGTTCTATATATAATTTCATATATGTAATATCTACAGAAGGTGAAAATCATCAGGGTTTGTGAGAGGGGTGGGATTGAAAAGTGAAACACAGGGGATTTTTAGGGCCCTGAACCTATTCTATATGATATTGTAATGGTAGGTTCATGATGTTATGCTTTAGTCAAAACCTATAGAATTTTATGGCAGAAAGAGTGAATCTTAATGTATGCAAATTAAAAAAATATTTTGGAGACTGTGGATCCCAGTATGGAAGGCAGAAACTGCCAAAAGGATCTAACTGTATTGCAAATGTATGAAATAGCCTCATTGAAAGGTATGGGGATAAAGTTTGCTGATCTAAGTAACTTTAGAAACGAGTTGTCTTGACTAAGACGACTTGTGATAAAAGAAACTGTGCGTGAATATTGTACTCTAGTTGATAAAGTAGTTTCCCACGAGGTATGGGATAACAATTCTGAAACTACCAAATATGTATGCTGGAACTGAACAACTGAGTAAACAAATGGTGATGGTGATAGCCGTGTCTCTCACTATCGGAGTGAGAGGTTATAGAAATGCGAGGGAGGAGGTTAGCATGATCTATGTTGTAATGTATTAGAGTTGGAGACATCCGTATGAACTCATGGAGCCAACCGAAAGGGTTCCCAATGGGCAAAGCTGGAACAATGTGAGCAATGAAATAAAGTAGTATTAGATTATAACTCAAGCTATAAAATAAATATGAATGAGTTTTTTTTCTGATATAAATGATTGAATAAACATGTAAATGGGAGATTAGACAAATATTCTCTGCAGAAGAATTCTAAGCAGTTTATGTAGATACTCTGTCCTCAAAGGGGTGGACCATAACTCTCCACTTCTTCAGTGTGGGCTGCGTATGTTGACCTCCTTCTAAAGAGTACAGAATGGAAATGGGGAAAAAGGGATAAACTTGCAGTAGATAAACCTGACAAACACTACCACAGTCAAGTGATCAAAGATAACATCAACGGTGATAAGCCATGTTGATAGTATGTACCCTTCATAAGATGTGATAAGAATGGCGATTTATCTCTGAAGTCTTTCTCCAGAAACCTATAACCCAAGTATAATGACGAGAAAACCATCAGATTAACTCAATTCTGGAATGTTCTACAAAATATCTGACCAACATTCCTGAAAACTGTCAAAAATCATCAAAACAAGAAAAGAATGAGAATCTGTCCCAGCTAAGGAGCCATGAAGACTAAACATATCATGGTATCCTGAATGGCATCCTTGAATAGAAAAAGGTATTAGGTAAAAACTGAATGAAGTACAGGCTTTAATATTAATTAATTATATTTATAATTATATATTGTTAATAATATTTTTAATAATATTGATTCATTAATTTTGACAAATGTATCATACTAATATAACATAGTAATAATAGGAGAAGTTGGGTGTTGGGTATATGGGAACTCTCTGTACCGTCTTCACAATTTTTTTGTAAATTAAAACTATCCTAAAACAAAACGTTTATTTAAGTAATGAGGTTCCTGTCACTCATAAACCATATCCTTTGTGGTTTTACAGCTACAGGCTTGTTTTAATGCCACTGACTCTGCTTTTGATCAGGTGATGCCTCTCTTTCCATCTCATTCAAAGATGGATTATTCTATTTATAGGATGTTTGGACAGACACAAAACACAGAGGGACTGATGATGCAGAAGCCAAGGAAACCTCCTTATCATTGCCAACGCAAGTGGACATGCAAAGGTAGGAATCCATAGCCCTCCCATCAGACCACAGATTATACAGCTGGAATTTTCTGTGGATCTTTTAATGCTAGGCTTTTAATGAGAACTTTGAAGAACTTGAACTAGAATCTAATCAGAAAATTTATCTTATTTTGAAATAGTATGTTTACATAGATATCTCCCCACTAGATTGTACGGTTTCCTATCTCCACAACCCTCACATCCAGACCAGTTTCTGGTGTGTAGCTGTATATTTATAAATATTGCTAAATTGAATGTAATGGTCAGATTTGACTTGACCTGGGTTGAAGATTATTAAACTATTATAATGCTTATTTTATTGAAGGAAAGTTTATAATTATAAAGATTAACATCTGAGTTCTGTTTCATGAATTGATATACAACTTTTATCTCAAACATTTGGGAAGATGGCTGCAGTACTCAATCTTGCTTATGTTTCTCCTTTAGACACTCATTTTTACTATCATTCAATTATTTTGGTACTACCTATATTTTTTCTTCTCACTGAATGTTATCTGTGCAATTCAGTCAAAACGTAAGTGAAGGTAAAGGACAAATTTTAGAGGAAATGTTTGACTAAGCAGTTGATCAACAAATATCCACCCATTTGATTGTTATATGAATTATACTTTTGGAAGAGAAGTGTTAACATAATAAGAGTATTTAATAAGCAGTAAATAAAGCATATTGACTTCTTACTTAGGATCAATATATCCAACCTTTTAAAGGTAATTAAATATGTGTTCATGTCAAGATGATTTAAATAGAGATTGTAGACTTCTTTCCCTCACCTTAAGACAATGTGTACCTTCAGAATTTTACATTTCTGTGACTCATTTTCAAGTTCATTTGAAAGGTCTGAACGTTTCAGAAGGAAAAATTAATCATTACAGATTACCCTAAATGTCCAAAGTGGCATCAGACTACCCTGAGACTGACCAGCATTGCGCTGGTTCTACTCGCTGCCACGGTGATAGGACTAACAATTCGGGGTGAGTATGTGGAAAGCTATATGTTCAACTATAGAGATTAACGTATTTCCTTTGGAGTTTACTTTTATTTCTTTAGCCTTTTCAGAATTATTTTTCACATTTATCTCATATTCTCTTTCATCGTTATTTTAATTACACTGATATTAAATGACACAGTTCCTGATTTCATTAATAATTAGTAATTTTTCCCTATACAGAGGAGGAATTAAACTTGTTAATTAATAAAGTCTATTCTGCTCATAATTTTAATTAATTGGTAAATAGTGTGGGTTTGGCTATCACAATTCTAGGAACTGAAGTCTTATATTTTAGTGAAAGTACTTAGTTTTATGAAAGCTGATTTGGCCCTTTAAATAAAACTTTTGGACTTTACAGGTTACTTGACATTTTGAAGTTTTTAACAAATTTATCAGTTACTTGAAAATTTAAGGCCAAGTTAAAGATCTATTTCTAAAATGAACTCTACTTCAATAAGAGCTCTGGATAATTGTATCTGTTATTGTTTCTATTTGTTGTGACCCACTACATCTTAGGAGTTGTAATAAACACGTTATATACATTGTCTTTTAGCCTTACAACAACTCTCAGTCTGTTAAGCATTTCTCTCTTTTAAATAAGGGGAAACTGAAAAACAGAGAGGCTATGTAACTAGTTCAAGATCATACAGAATTCTAACCTATCTAAACAGATGCAAATTTAAATATGTTTTAATTTTATTTAGATAATTTGTTTCTATTGTTTGTTTCTAATCACTTTTCTATAAGTGGAAATCTCCGAATCTCTAAGTTTATTCATTCTTTGTCAAATTGGAGGGTTGAAATGCTATAAACAGACCTCCTGTCCACCAGCATTTCATGCATTCCCTTGCAGGTTCACTTTAATGGATAGTTAAAAGGCACAGGCTTACATCTGCAGAAATCTAATTAGTCTTACTATTTTTCCTCATTTCTTAGTAAGTTACCTAAGCATACATTCCTTCAGTGACAACCACAGTGAGGTGTTTGGTAGTGAGAATGGAACCAAAGATTGCAATTGTATGAATATTCTTCCCAGGAAACAGCAGGACAATACAAAATCCACAAGTAAGTGGTTTTATTTGATTGTGTTGTAGAGGAGGGAAAATTTTTCCTCCACCCTCTTAAGTTTAGTGCTTGGAGCCTGTAAATTAAATGGACAAAGAACCAATTAATGGGAGAAAAATGTTTATTTGTACGCATAGAAGAGCTAACAAAAGATGTAGCTAGCTCTAAATGGCTAAAGGCTTATATACCTAACTTAGAGGAAAGGGAGGGGGAAGAAATGGCTGGCTTCTGTGGAAAAAATAAATATGCTTCTTTAAGAAAGACAAGAGGGTTTTTGGGTGGGGGATGGTGCAAGGAAATCTACTTTTTAAAAAAGAATTATTTGATTGAGGTCATATTGGTTTATAACATTGTGTAATTTCAGATGTACATTATTGTATATCAATCTCTGTATGCACTGCATCATGCTCACCACCAATAGCCTAGTTTTTATACGTCACCAGACAAGAGGGTTTTTTAGGAGAACAAACTGGAGATAAAGTTTGTGATAGTGTCTCTTTATGCAAGTATAAGCAGTCTTTCTCTCTTCTTCATGGCCATAAAATTCCCCCAGAGAGGGGGTTTATGGTAGGTTTCTTCTCAGTCTTTTTCCTGCGAGCAAACCACCTGAAAGAGGGAATTTATGGTGACCTCATTTCTCAGAAGCTTCTACTTTTGGTCAGATAAGGAAGGCTCTGAGGAGGCTTTTTCTTGCATCTCTTGCATCTCTTTACCTCCAATTCCGGTTCCTGTAAGTCTGTTCAGGTTCACTGCTTAGACTACACTTACCGCTTCCTCGCTCACCTTACTGCTGCTAGAACTCTCTTCAAATACACTGTCTCCAATAGCTGGCTTGCTGCTACTTCAAGTGTTGAAATTCCCTTGCTAGGCAACAAAGATATCACTGACTATCTCTTGAAAGTTTCAAAATCTTAACTTATTTATTTTACTTCATATATCTATTAGGCATATATAAAATACTTGGTTTACTGACAAGATAGCAAAGAATTTAAGAAAAAGTCCCTGCCCTCAAGAATCTCATGATTGACGTGTGAGATGGCAAAGATAGTCAAATGGCAATGCCACATGTGGTTTAGGCTGAATAAACTCCTTCCTGATAGAGGTCTAGAGTAGCTTCTTGCATTATGCTCAGTGTCTCTAAAGGTGAGGTTAGTACAGAGGGTGGAGTGTGGTTAAGGATGATGTGATAGTTTCTGGATGACAGTAGAGTCATATTCCTGGAATACCAATTTTATTTAATGGAAAGTAATCTAGATAGTATCGTATTAAATCAAACTCACAAGTATATTAAGGATTAGAATGTAATATTTACATAAGAATTTAAGATGAAATCAATCTTTCAGGAAATTTTGCCTAGGCCCTTAAGGAACAAGTTCAATATCCTTAACTGTTGGAGACGATTTGGTGGAAAACTGTAAGGTTCATTGGCCTGAAATAGTTTTATTGCTATGATTGCTTTTTACTTTACTACTCAAGAACATTATACCAGCATTATGCACCTATATTTACTTATGTAGTATTATATGGATAGTATCCATGTACTATATCCATATATTATTCTATGCAATAGTGATTGCTGTTTTTGCGATTATTATTTGTTACAATATATGATTAAGGTGTTTTAGATTGTTCTTTCAAAATTATAATGCATAAAGGTTGAATTATAAGGCATTTGGAGATCAGTATGTCTCACAAAGAAGGGGATTACTAATTGCTATTTTACTGTCATCTAGATCTCCATTCATTCTCTGTGCAGCCAGTAGGATCTTTCTAAAATGCAGATCAGTGACCAGGGCACTTGCATGCTTAAAACTCTCCTGTGATTTTCTCTGGTCCTTAGGACAAAGTCTAAGCACTTTAACTTATTTACAAGGTCCTCTGCACCTTGATTTCCTACAACAGCAGTCTCATTTCTCACAGTGCAGCTCTCTTCTTTGTACACTAGTCCCCAGCAGCACAAACCTCTGTGAGGCAGTACAATGCAGCATACTCTCTCGACTTTGAGTCTTTGTTCACGCTGATCCAATCCATTCTTTTGAATATTTATCTCTTCATTGCAGTTTCCTACCCTCTGAACCCTTCTAGTGTGTGTGCGCACACCATAGTTGAGACTATACATGCTAATATAATATGATAAAATACACATAGCTGATTTTAGTTGCATTTCTTATATGATAGGGCAATTAAATATAAAATCACATATATTGGATATTTGTATTTTTTATTCTGTATACTGCCTGTTCATCATCTTTGCCTTTTTTAAAAAAAAATTACGGTGCTTATTTTTTCTTAGTTATAAGTGCTTATTTTAGAATAAGAAAATTAACTTCTCACAAGCTACAACAATTTTCTAAGAAATCTACCAAAACTATAAACTCTTGCACAATTTAAACATCATGAATTATACTAAAATATATTTCCAGTCCTTATGTTAAATATGGATAATTAGGAAGTGCTTTCTACTTAAATATTGATGATCAGAAGAGAGTGATAGAACAGAATATGAAAAATATAACTAATGTGCATGTTTATGATGACACTTTTCCCTTGAGACTTTAGCCTTTATATCCCATCTCTTTAATTGGTCAACTCAGTCTTCCCTGCTGTGGGCATTTCTATATTCCTCCCCATTCATGTACTCTTCTAGGCTTCTCTAGACCACCTGGAGGCCTTCTTTCAATGGGGGTCCCAGCACTACTGCACTCCAGAGCTATTTGTTGACTATTTCCATCATCTTATCTTTGGCATAGCAATAATAGTCCTGTAATTTTCACTGGATGAATTTCCTTCCTTTTACTGCACTGAAAGAAGCTGGGGCTTCTTTGTTTCTGTGGTAGATGACTTTCAGGCAAATAAAAAGAAGAGGGAAGTGAATAATTCATCATTTATTTTAGAGGCCAACTGCTACCGTAGCAAAACATGTCAAGGAAAACATCTGAATGAGCACGACGGCTTAAAGTTATTCGTTTCTGTCAATAATTTATGATAGTAAATTTCAGCAAAACTAAAATTTATTCCCAGCTTTGGTGTGAGATGTACTGTTGGGTATTTTTCCTGGCCAACGCAGTTAAAGCTTAGTTCATTAATACACTATTTCAATGCCCATTTTGTTGTTATTACTTATAAAATAAAATGCCTTGGGAAGAGGGCTGTGAAGAACCAGGGCACTTCACTGATTCAACCAGAAACTTACTATGTGATATTTTCCCCAAATAATATGATTCTTCATACTCTCTCTCAAAGATCTCCCATGGGCTCTAATGGTAAATACTAACTTTTGAAAAGAGTATTTTATAGTTTATATTTTCATATTAGTCTCATTTAATATAAGCAAATCAGGTAAACTTTTACATAAATTTGGGGATATTTAAAAGATATTATGGAACATTTAAGACATGCGAAACTTTAAATAGCATACAAGCAATGTTTATATGCCTACTATTCAGCTTAAAATATAAAAAGAATTAGTTCATCTGAAACCTGTGCATACCAATTTCTGAATATAAGTTTATTTTGATACTTATTTTAGGTTTGTCCCTTTTCATAGAGGTAAGTCTGATGGTCATCAAGACATATAGATATTGGGGTCACCATGAAAAATTTGTTTTACAAAGTTTCTGATAAAGCATGTTATGAGGGCCCGGCCCCATGGCCGAGTGATTAAGTTCACATGCTTCGCTTTGACGGCCCAGGGTTTCGCAGGTTCAAATCCTGGGTGCAGACATGGTACCTCTCACCAGGTCACACTGAGGCGGCTTCCCACATGCCACAACTAGAAGGACCCACAGCTATAATATACAACTACGTACTGGGAGGCTTTGGGGAGAAGAATTAAAAAACAAAAGATTGGCAACAGTTGTTAGCACAGGTGTCAATCTTCAAAAAAGAAAAACAAGGCATCGTGATGCAGTTTGTAGTTTGCAGAGAAAAAAAAGTGTTATGAAATATATTCTTCTGCATCAAAAAGAGACTCTAAAAAAGACATTTTTTTCCACAATAGTTTTCTCCTGATGGCTTTTAGACTCTCTGTTTTACTTTGTTTCCCTATATCCCACCACTTATTAACTATATGACCTTGAATGAGTTACTTAACTTTTAGTTTCCCACTTTATACTTTACTTAACCTTAACTTTACTGTCTTTAATTACAAACTGAAAAAAATGAAGTTAATAATTTTATGTATCTCATAAGTTTCTTGTAAGGAAGAGTATTTCATATAGTACTCGTGCATAAAGAATTCGGAAACTATTTGAAATATAATAATTACTCAATAAATAATGGCTGAATATTTCTGACATTTATCTCTTCTAAAGACTATTCATCAGTGGAGAGGGAGTTCATTGGGGGGGCAAAATCTTTACTTTTAAGGAAATAATTTACAAAATTAGTGCAAAAATTGTTTTCAATAATTAAATCTTGTTCTCATTCCTATTTCTTCCTATTTTCCCATTTTCAGCAAACTCTAGGCTAAATTTATGCCCCAATGATTGGGTACAGAAGAAAGGGAAATGCTATAACTTTTTCAAAACCTTTAATTCATGGATCGATAGCCAAAAGTCCTGTTCAATAATGAAATCACATCTTTTGATGATCCAAGACAAGGCTGAACTGGTAAGAGCTAATTTGCCATGAAAATTATCACTTTAACAACTGGGAAAAATAAGTGCATGCTGTAATAAAAGAATTATAGCACTAATAATTACTGCCATTTATGGAATTCCCACCATATGCCAGGCACTGTGGTAGACATGTTATATAACTTGGTGCTCACAATAACCTTATCTGATAGGCAGTATTTTCCCCATTTCCATGAGAGGAATCTATAGAACTTGACAGGTTGTACAAAGTTGCCTACTTCACTCTTCAAGCAAATGACAAAGTTAGAATATCAATGCTATCCTCGAACATTATCTCCCGGAGAGAAAGATAGGAGCTCTTTCAGGTGCTGATCAAAAGCATTACCAATATCTGGCAATATTCCTCGTATCTTGGGTAAGAGAGATGGGGCTCCTTAGTTTCATTTGTGTGTAGTTTCACCTTAGGCATCAGTTTTCTCAAGACTGCACCATTGGTAGACAAAAGCAATCCATGGATAGCTGTTGGTCTTTTAGGCAGACTCATTCATTCCTAGCTTTTGCTTCACATCCTCTTTGTGCCCCTTCGTCAGTTGCTGTTTATATCACCACCCTCAGGAATTCCATTAAGCAGCACATGCCCTCACATAATGCATGCAAGAGTCATGTATTTTGAATATCTTCCTATCGATATCCTTCCCTAAATGTATAGAAAACCTCCTCAGCTTTCTTAAGATTTTCCTGATTAGAGAGATCAATAGCAAAACCTTTACAGGTCTGGACAAAAGTTCTAAGAGGCTATTTTAATAGATTTAACTCAGTTAATTTCCTCTGGATCTTCTTTCACAGGATTTCATACAGAGTAATATACAAGATGGAATTTACTTTTGGATTGGATTGAACATTACACATCCACAAAAGACATGGACGTGGCTGGATGGCACCCCATTAAATCGACAGTTGTGAGTGTTGGCATTTAAGTACCATGGGGGAATATGAGAGCTGAGCAGCCAATCCCTACTGGGGGCTGCTTGAAAGTCCAAGTAGCCAGTTGGTTCCTAAAGATTGAAGACTTTGATGTTTGTTAATTTGCAAATAATTAGGAAATTTGCCTTAGAGAAATGAAAACTCCTAAACTGATTTATTTTCATAATGAGCTTTCTTTTAGTTTACCTATAATGGGAGAGGTATAAATGGAAAATTGTATTCAATGTAAATTTATATAAATTTAAATTTTTATGAAGTATTTCTTACAGGTTTGCAGAATAATCTTTATTTTGATTAGTAGAAGAACTTCAATTATTGGGAAATATTAAAGAATAAGTTATACATAACACAACAAATAACCGTTTGACTGTTTTTTAATTCTATCGCCCCAATTAACAATATCTGTATCTATTTTTGTGTCCCTCATTCATTTCTGCTTAAATTCCATGAATAGAGATTGCTGAATCTTTGGGGATTATGTGCAAATCCCCAAAACATAGGCAGAAAGTCTGAGGGGTCCAGGGCGAAAACTACTCTTAGCATCAAGGTTGTGGGGATCATCAAAAGTTAATTAAGCTTTTTGAAAATTTTTAATTTTGTAATGTCTCTTAAAGAGATGTGAATTTAAGGAGATTAGGAGGAATATAAATCTTCTGGAGTGACACAGCTGGTCCACTGGGCTGGCTGAGGGGTAGTAAAAAAATACTCTGAAACAGAAAGTCACCCCACAAATGAATACTCTTACCCAGAGACTATTTACAGCATCTCCAGAGTGGAAGGAGGTGGGGAGAGGGAAAAGGGGTAAAAGGGGACATTTGTGCAGTGACAGATAGAAACTAGACTTTTGGCAGTGAATATGATGTGATCTATACAGAAGCTGAAATATAATGATGTGCACCTAAAACTTATATAGTGTTATAAACCAATGTGATCTCAATAAAAAAAATAAAAAATAGTAAATAAATAAAATAAAATTTACACTCTATACCCACCCATGCATGCTCTCTGTACACAACAAACAAAAAACCCAGAAATTTTGTTTGATTATTTCTAACAAAAACCTATTAGCATATTTTTAAAGAGATGTTCTGTCAACCTACACACAAACTTTCTTAGATTTATTAATTTGCTGATCTGGTTTTTAAAATCGAGTAGTTCCTGACTTTTTTTGGATGACTTGTGGCTTTTTTGTCTAACACAGGAAAAGTTGGTTTTAACATCATGGAAAAACAGAATTTAGAGGAAGTTCCCTTCTTTTGTGTTAAAGCTGAAGGATGTGCATATTATGAACACATATGCACAGAAATTCTTTTGTTGAGGTGTCTACGTGAGTTTAAAACATTTCAGAAAGGCGGGAGATCTTCTCGCCTTTTCCTCACTCTCACTCCTTGCCTAAGTCCTGTCTGGGGTTACTGTTGCCATGTTCAGCATGTAAAGACTAGATGCATCAAAGAGCATTCATCTTTCTTAGAATCTATTTTAGAAGCAAGGAGATTCATCACAGACAGTGAGGGAAGATTTTGAAAAGTGTGGCATTTGGGATTTAAGTCTGGAAGATGAAAAGGTTAATAGTTTGATTTACTCTCTACAGGAAATTAATACTTTTTGAAAACTGTGCATGCTTTTGAATGTGTTGATATTACAAAATCTTAAAATGATAAATATGATATTGTCTGCTGTAGATTTTGTATCATTCAATTGATGAAGAATTTTTAGAGTAACAAAATGAATTTTTCTCCTAAAATGGCAGAATTGTCCTCTGTCTTAGTATAACAAAATACCAGACTGGATAGCTTATAAACAACAGAAATTTATTGATCACAGTTCTGGAATGTGAGATTCCAAGATCAAGGGAGCCCTGTTTTGGTGAGGGCCCTCTTGCTGACTGGTAGCTGACACTCTCTCACGGTGTCCTCACAGGGTGCAGGGGCTAAGGATCTCCCTGGGACCTCTTATGTAAGGAGCTAATCTCATTCACGGGGGTTCCATCCTCATGACTTAAGTACCTCCCAAAGGCCCCGCTCCCTAATACCATCACTTTTAAGGGTTAGAATTTTGACATATGGATTTTGGGGGCATACAAACATTAAGATGATAGCAGTCCTCTAACAATTTTATCTTTCATGTGAACTCCTGGAATTGAGAAACTAGTGTTTCTTGCTCACATTGTTATTTCCATTTTAATTCCATGCAGTGTTTCCATCTACAAATGACAATTTTTTTTTTATTGCATTTTGGAGCAATTCTAAGCAAATCATTTACTAATGTACATTTCCTGTCCGAATATGACAATACTTTAGATCTCTAGCTTGAGGGATACATTCTTCCTAAGAAGACGGAAAACACACAAAGTACACACAGTTGTGCTTTTAGCAGAGTGAGGACAGAGTATTCCTTTTCCTCTACAGATTTCAAGTCATGGGCCAGGTTGAAGATAACGCCTGTGCTGTGATAACAAAGGAGGGTGTTTTTTCTGAAAAATGTCTCATTCAGAGTTACTGGATTTGTCAAGATGTGATTTCTTCGGACAATGACCTCTGAATTCATCACAGGTATCCTCTTCACTCAAAAAAGTTCACAAAAATTTTTTATTTATGTATTTTTGTAGAAGCAGTTTGTTTCTACAACAAATGTTATGGTGATAAATGATAATGTTAGATTTGTTAGATGATAATGTTAGATTTGTTACTATAAATGCAGGCAATCAGCCTTAACTGGTCCTTAGCTTCACCTGGTCACTTGTACTGTATTTCCATAGTCATCTCCCATTCGTGATAGTGGCTATTTCAGATGGAAACCATGCTTTTGTCTCCTCTATAATTCTCTCCCTACTTGTCTCATTCACCATTAGCAGAGGAGCTTGTTCTCTTTTTGTTTTGTTTTGTTTTTTTTTTTTTATTATTATTTTTTTTATTTATTTTTTTTTTTTTATTAATGTTATGATAGATTACAACCTTGTGAGATTTCAGTTGTACATTTTTGTTAGTCATGTTGTGGGTACACCACTTCCCCCTCCGTACCCTCCCCCCACCCCCCCTTTTCCCTGGTAACCACCAATCAGATCTCCTTCTCAATATACTAATTTCCACCTATGAGTGGAGTCATATAGAGTTCGTCTTTCTCTGACTGACTTATTTCGCTTAACATAATACCCTCGAGGTCCATCCACATTGTTGTGAATGGGCCAATTTCGTCTTTTTTTATGGCAGAGTAGTATTCCATTGTGTATATATACCACATCTTCTTTATCCAATCATTAGTTTCTGGGCATGTAGGCTGGTTCCACGTCTTGGCTATTGTAAATAATGCTGCAATGAACATAGGGGTGCAACGGACTCTTGAGATATCTGATATCAGGTTCTTAGGATAGATACCCAGTAATGGGATGGCTGGGTCATAGGGTATTTCTATTTTTAACTTTTTGAGAAATCTCCATACTGTTTTCCATAGTGGCTGTACCAGTTTGCATTCCCACCAACAGTGTATGAGGGTTCCTCTTTCTCCACAACCTCTCCAACATTTGTCGTTCTTGGTTTTGGATGTTTTTGCCAATCTAACGGGGGTAAGGTGATATCTTAGTGTAGTTTTGATTTGCATTTCCCTGATGATTAGCGATGATGAACATCTTTTCATGTGTCTATTGGCCATATTCATATCTTCTTTTGAGAAATGTCTGTTCATGTCCTCTGCCCATTTTTTGATCGGGTTGTTTGTTTTTTTGTGTTAAGTAGTGTGAGTTCTTTGTATATTATGGAGATTAACCCTTTGTCGGATAAGTGGCTTGTAAATATTTTTTCCCAATTAGTGAGCTGTTTTTTTGTTTCAATCCTGTTTTCCCTTGCCTTGAAGAAGCTCTTTAGTCTGATGAAGTCCCATTTGTTTATTCTTTCTATTGTTTCCCTCAACTGAGGAGTTACAGTGTCCGAAAAGATTCTTTTGAAACTGATGTCAAAGAGTGTACTGCCTATATTCTCTTCCAAAAGACTTATTGTCTCAGGCCTAATCTTTAGGTCTTTGATCCATTTTGAGTTTATTTTGGTGTGTGGTGAAAAAGAATGGTCAATTTTCAATCTTTTGCATGTGGCTGTCCAGTTTTCCCAGCACCATTTGTTGAAGAGACTTTCTTTTCTCCATTGTAGGCCCTCTGCTCCTTTGTCGAAGATTAGCTGTCCATAGATGTGTGGTTTTATCTCTGGGCTTTCAATTCTGTTCCATTGATCTGTGGACCTGTTTTTGTACCAGTACCATGCTGTTTTGATCACTGTAGCTTTGTAGTATGTTTTGAAATCGGGGATTGTGATTCCGCCGGCTTTGTTTTTCTTGCTCAGGATTGCTTTAGCAATTCGCGGTCTTTTGTTGCCCCATATGAATTTTAGGATTGTTTGTTCAATTTCTGTGAAGAATGTTCTTGGGATTCTGATTGGGATAGCATTGAATCTGTATATTGCTTTAGGTAGTATGGACATTTTAACTATGTTTATTCTTCCAATCCATGTGCAAGGGATGTCTTTCCATCTCTTTATGTCATCGCCTATTTCTTTCAAGAGAGTCTTGTAGTTTTCATTGTATAGATCCTTCACTTCCTTGGTTAAGTTTATCCCAAGGTATTTTATTCTTTTCGTTGCGATTGTGAATGGGATAGAGTTCTTGAGTTCTTTTTCTGTTAGTTTATTGTTAGTGTATAGAAATGCTACTGATTTATGCACGTTAATTTTATACCCTGCTACTTTGCTGTAGTTGTTGAATATTT